ATCACTTACCTTATATCTCTACTTTCTTACCCTATCTTCATTCCTTACTTATTTACTTAGTCTTAAGTACTATTCATCAAGCTATACAGGCTGTATGAAAATTAAATAACACTGCTAACTAAGTAATTTATTTCAATGTCTGTGCAAAGATAAACCACAGTTCTACAGATGTCCTGGCTCTAGAAGGGACAGCCATCTAATGCTGGCGTCATTTCTACGCTCCCGTTGACCATGTAGTTGTTCTGCCTCATCCTGTGGAAGTTAGAGGGATGGTTGAACAGTAATGAGAATGACAGACACTAGTATATGAATGCTTTGTTATTCTTAGTTATTTCTAAAAGCTTCTGAGATAGATCGGCACACGACTCTGCATATGAGCATGCAAACCTGTCTGCATTAAACTCACAGATACTTGCTATGAGATTACTCGCCAGGATAGCGATGAGGAAAAATAATGAGATCTGGGCGCTCACTGTCACGTAATGCTTTAGTGCAGACTTGTTCTCATCCTTCTTAATATTCTTCACCAGAAAGCACATTGCTAGGGATGCAATAATGTAGGGTGCAACGAAGATGGATAAAAGATCAAAGTGTCTTGCATGTTCTATCTCGTGCAACAGCAAAGCCTTGACTGCTTCAAAGCTGTTGTTCTGGATCGTATCCTTGCCAATCATGATGCTCATCATAGATTTGAATGGAACAATATTGCTGGCTGCATTGTCAGAAAGCATACCACCTACAACAAACACTCTTGAAATGTCAACATCGAACTCGGCAAAAAACTTTTCGTATTGAGAAATATCCATTCTGTTCCTTTGAAAGCATTCAGTAATGGGAGTACCCCCCCCCCAGAAGATAGGGTGTGAAATATGCTCGCAAGAGAGCCACTGCTGCAACGAGACAGTTGCCAAAAATTATAAGACGAGTTGTTGATACCTTTGAGGTAATGAAGGAAACAAGCTTGACAATGCCGTATGAGATTATAACGCCACCTATAATGAAAAATAACTCGGTTGCTACAGCATATGTTACTAACAACAATAAACCCAATACTTCCCAGAAAACCCTTTTTCTTTTCGAATATATATGCGAAACTTTATAGTGATCAGGTATGTACTCAGATGCCACATCCAGTACTGCAAGGAAAAATAACACTATCGGTTGTACTAAAATAGTGCCATACCCAATAGCAATGTACAAGATCATTTGCAACCAATAGTCCACATTTACAAAGCAGAAAGTAGTGGGCATGGCTGTGTTTACTACTATCTTGGTATTCTCTGGGTAGAACCACCATAACCCAATGCAGTAATATGCAAATGCTGCCACAAGAATAATCTCTCCAGAGCTGTGTATTTTGAAGACTCGCTGGCCATTACTTTCTTGATCACAGCATATGAAGTACTGAGAATGTGCCTGAGTCATACAATGAAACTTGCTCGTTTGAGTCTTCCAACAATGCTTGCTTGCTCAGCAGTTGCATTCTGTGTACCGAGCTCTATATCAACTAAGAATCTATCTGTAGTGGCTAAAGTAGACATCTTTTATGAGGTGGAAAAATACAAACAAAATTTATCTAGAAAAAGTAAAAAATTGATAAAAATTTCAGAAAAATCGGAATTGTTCGGAAATAATCTTCACCAACGATAGACTACACACTTGTACATATTGACATTAATTATGCATACCACACATTCATTCTAGAGCCCCAAAATGTATAGGAAAGCATCACCAGCAGCCCCCAATGCTTGTATTCTGCTCTTTTCTCAATATTTCCACCAGCTTGCTGTCCTACACAGCAGTAAATCCTTGATCTACTTGGGACTCCCCAACTCCAATGACGATGTGTGATTCTATTCATTGCCATCATTCGCTATGAGTTTGCTCCACTCTTGTTCCACCTCCACACAGTAGGTCCTTGTGACTACCAGCAAACTTCAAGTGCTCTCTTCCATAGCCTTACTGTCTTTGGATGCAATCTATATGCTATCTTGTCTTTCTATATGCATCATCCTCATCATAGCGGAGTACTACCCAAGCATATTACTTGAAATCCCCTAATTGTCTCAAAAATAATCTTAGCAATGCCTGGTAATAATCCTGGCTTATTGCTTCTAAAGTACAAGTACTTTATAGTTTCCAACCCTCATATTTCAGCTGGTAATGATTTTAATTTACTTGCATGAGGCCTAACTTCTCTAGCCTCTTAACAAAGCCATAGTGCAAGGAATATACCGATCGTCCTCCATTTCCTGGATATACAAGAGGATTTAGATTTTGAATGCTGCCTGGTCTTGTGCCACTGTCTGAGCTCTGAAGTGTAGCTCCCATGAGTACAACTAGACTGCAGACTGCTTTATGTGTCTTTCTTCGTAGAATATTTATTAGCATGGGTATGAGCTAAAAAATTTTTAAATATTTTAATTTTGACAGGAAATCATAATGACATATCTCCAAGTTTAAAAATCATAAATTGACATGCGTATACGTAAGATTTAACTACAAACAAGACAGTAATTGCTGGCAATAACAATATTAACTATACTGATAAATCTTTGTAAACAAGTCCTACCACTCAACGATTGTTTTTGAAAAATTTTTGGTATATTGACAGATGTCAAATATGACATGCCAAGTGCAATCACTCCAGACTGTATTTGTGTGTCGTTGGATAAATAGCACTGAGTGACATTTAGTCTATGGCTCACTTATGATTCCTTGTGCAAATCAGAACGTAAGTGAGTACTGTTGATCGTCTAAATATCTAGTGCAGAATGCAAGCATATTCCCCTGTAGCAGCTGTAGCTGGAGATTGTATGTGGGTTATCCATTTTAAACACACATAGGTATAGTTAAACCATAAAGTGATAATACATACAGTTGGTTTGCATTTATTTAAGCACTAGTCAAAAGAATGGATCGGACAAGCCATTGCGTGAACATAAATTAGATTACAGAAACCTGTTCTTGTCCATGCGACAAGTCCTGTATATCGTTCATCTATCTATATAATTTAATAGCATATCTATCCATATATCATTTATATATCCTTCCTTCTACCCCATCCATCATCCATCTAATAAATATCTATTATCATATCTAATCTACCTTACATCCATATAACTAATATAATCCATCCAAAATCCTATCTTCTTATGCATCTGGCTAATAATCTATCTAACTTAATATATTCTACTTATTAGTCACATAACTGCCTACTCAAT